GCAGCGCCAGCTGAGCGGCCGCCGCTCCCAGCCCCGCTGCTCCGGGCGCTCCCCGCTTGCTCCCCCCTCCCGCACCGTCGCCTCCTCTTTTATTTATTTATTTACTTATTTCCAACCCCCCCCCCCCCGCTCCTCCTTTTCGGCCTCTGCAATCCACAAAGGAGGAGGGCTCGGGGACATCCTGCCCGTCCCTTTGTTCTAAATATAACAAAGTCCCTTTTTGCCCGCTGCCGTCCCGTAGCAAATTTCAAGGCGGTCAGCTTCCCCCCCCCATCCCACGCACACGCATCGCCCCTTCCAACTTTATGTAAGCGTCCCCGGTGCGAAAGGTACCGCGGAAAAAAAAAGGGCCACGAACGCGCACCGGCTCCGGCCGGGGAGCGAGCGCCGGGGCTGCGGGGGGGTGCCGGGGGGGATGCGCTGCGACCCGGGAGGGAGGGAAGCACCGGCTCGGCAAGGCTGTCAGCTCTCCTTATACAACCGGGGAAATCCTCCCGGTTGCAGGAAGCAAATCTCTCCCTAAAGTAAAGCAAAGGCATTGACACAGACAATTGCAAATATTAGGGAGAGAAGGGAGAAAATATAATTACATTTCAGTTCTGAGGGGACCGTGTTTGCTTTCCTCTGCTGTTCCCTGAGTGAGTGACTGCATGCAAAGGAGTACTCGGCTTGTAAGGTTTTTTAGTTTCTTTTTTTTTTTTTGGTCCGGTAACAGGATTTTTTTTTTTTTTAACATTTTGTAACGATTAAGGGAGATTAGGACTTCTTTTTACACTGTTTTTACGCTCAAACAGACAGAAAGTGCGACCCCAAGTGTCCGTTTGGAGAATAACAGCTACTTTTCACGGGGAAAAAACACCCGGAAAAAAAAAAGGGGACGGGCGAGCGGGAGCGGAGCCGAGCGGGAGCGGCAGCGGGAGCCGGAGCGGGAGCAGAAGCGGGAGCGGGAGCGGGAGCGGGGCTGCCGCGGGTCCGGCCCGGCCCCGCCGCTCCGGAGCTGCTCCTCCGCCCCCTGCACCTCAGCATCTCCCATATCCCCCCCTCCAATTTATTTAGCCAAAAGAACAAAAAAAGTTCAAGATCTGCTTTTCAGAAAATAATTAGGAGGGAACTGCCTTTCTGGAGCTAGGACAACACTGCGAAAGTCCCCAAGAGGAGACATCCCGTCCCGTCCCGCCGGCGTCGGTCCCTCCCTGCCGGACCCGAGCGCCATACCCGGGGCGATGCCACCAGCCCGGCCCCGCTTGTCCCGCTCCTCCACATTTCCGCGGAGCCAGAGAACGGAGGAGGCAAAAGTCGCGGAAAGTGTCCCCCCCCCCCAAAAAAAAAAATTAAAAAAATTCTAGGGGTCCCTCCGGCAGCAGGTTGAAGGGATGGGGTGGAAGCCGAGGAGGGGGAGGTGGATGAAATCCCCCTTCGCAGTACAGGCGCTCCGGGGTTTAATTTCGTGCGGCAATGCCTCGTTTGAGTTTTTCCCCGCGACATTTGGACGGGACATAACTCCCGGTGAATAGTGCCCGAGAGGGGCCAGCTCCAGTGCTCCCCACGCGTTGTGGTCCCGGGGGGGTGAGCGAGTGATTCCCTCCGCACCCCGCTCCCGGCTGAAGCGGGGCTGCGCTGCCGGGAGCACGCAGACATCCCTCCGCAGGTTGCCCCACTCTAAACGCGTATGAGGGAGGACACGCATGGAACAACCCGCTCCCCGCGCCCTGCGTGCCCCGTGGGCAACGCAGCCCCGGCGGTGCCGGGGGCTCCGGGCTCCGCACGGGCACGGCGCTGCTGGTTTCCCCATCAGTGCCAGATTTGGGAAATCGCCTTCTTTTGGCTGTTATCGAGCGGCCCCGAGGCGGAGAGGCGGGGGGCTCCGCGGTGCGCGGTTCCCCTCCGCGGAGAGGCAGGGGCCGGGCAGGGGGACCCGGCCACCCTGGCAGAGCAGAGCGGGACAGGAGCTCGGTGGTCCCCGTCCGGCAACTGCTGCCTCCTTGGGGGCTTGGGGGGAGCCGAGGGCCTCCCGTGCGGGTCCGCTGTAGTTATTATTTATGAGGTCCTGGAAGCTGCCTGGGGAGAGCTTTATTTTCACCTGCACGTCAAACGTTATCGTTGCCACTGAGGGAAAGGGGACCCCGGCGAGCGCTTGGGAAGCTAGGATGCAGCCCTGCAAAATGTGCCATTAGATGGCTAATGCTTTTTCCTCTCATAATTACTGAGGTATATTCACAAGGTGGAGCTACTGAAAGGCGGAGGAAGCATTGATCTGATTATGTCCCTGTCCATATACATTCTGTCCCTTTTCTTAATCTTTTAAACTGCGAATTACGGATCGGTTTTGCGCGCCCATCCTCATCGTCATAAAATTTCGGGGCACTTTCTGGGTCAGTTTCTTTGCTCTTCCATCCCTCGCTCCCCACTACAAAATACATCCCACAAAACTTGCGACGTTACGCGGCTGGCTAAACTGAGAACCGCTTTGTGCCCCGAATCCCCCGTGAAAGGCCAATTTTGTTTATTGTAGAGCTTTTAATTCAGCCACCAAAGGTTATTCTCGCTGGGATTTATATGTTAGGGGGGCATGTTCCTCCGTCCCATCTATTTCTTTTTTTAATAAGGTTTGGGGAAGAATTGATGTTGCTGGAGCAGAAGCAGAGGATTCCTGGGCTAAGCAGCCCAGCGAGGCAGCCCACGAGGAATTTCCCTTCCGCGGGGACAAGCCGCCGAGTCGGGCGGCCGCGGTGCTGCGCGCAGGGGGAGCTCCGCGCACCCCGGCCCTACGCACCCTAAAAGCCACCGCGGGGCAAAGCGGCGGCCCCGGCGGCTGCCGAAAGGATTTTCCCGTCCCCTCTGCGCCCGCGGAGGACAAGTGCCGCCGTTGGGGGCGGGGGGGAGAAGAGGCACCCACCTGCCCGGCATCGCAGCGCCGGGGCACAGCTCGCTTCCCCTCCAAGCCTTCCGAGAAATTTTTGTTTAAGTGCGACCTTTTCCCTACACCCGAAAGCTGCTAATCGAGCGGCTTTAATTTTTTTTTTCTTTCTATTTTTTGAGATCCGTTTTTTGAAGGTTAGTTTCGAGTAAAGAATGACTTCTTCCCGCTCTCCCTCGTCTCCCCCCTCCCTTTCGCAAACTGCCGGCCAAATTCGGCAAGAGTTCAAAGAAAATGATAGTGACATTTCAGATCAGCTCGATCCGGCGTGTCCGCCCAGGGCAGGGCAGTGAGGGTCCTTGAGCCACTAAAATTTGAAAGCTCGCCCTTAAAACTGGAGCATATAGTTACCTATAGCTGTTTGGTTTGGTAGGGCTTCTGCCTGATGCCGGGCGGGGTGGTGGGGGGTGACATTTAGGAAGGGAACCGTATTACGGTGGCATCCCCATTCCCAAATCTTAGAAACAGCAGGTCTAGGTAACTGATAAAAAGAAGACTGTTACATATGTATTTTCCACGCTACTGGTTCTCTTGAGAAGCGGTCCTCGTTTTTGGTAGCCGACTGCTACTTTTTCCCCAGAACTAGCTTTTTTACCCCATAACATTAGTGCGATATGTTGTCTGAAATGGGAGTTTTGTTAACAAACACCCAAGCCGAAATCACCCGTGCCTGGCAGCGGGCACTGATGGAGGAAAAGGGCATCACTTTCCTAATTCTTACCTTCCCTCGCTTGATTTTTAATTTCCCAAACTGCAAGCAGACGCCGTGCTGTTTGTCAGGATTTTTTTCCCCTGTGTAAGCAGCGAGGGACCTGGTTAATCATCTATCGCAGATACATGTGCATGAGAAAGAAAAGTGTTGATGTTTGCTTGTTCGGGCTGATGGGAATGGCCCACGAATTTAGGATTAAATTACTAATGGTAATCATAAGTCTTTGTTTCCTCTCTCTCTCTCTCTCTTTTCTGCGGGGATTGTCAAAGTAAAGCGTGCAACATTCTTTGGACAAAGTCTGCACAGCAGCTTTGCAGTATAAAATAAGCTATTGTACCCTCCTGGGTTAACTGGGATCTCTTCAGATTTTAGCCTGAACCAGTTAAGAGCGGGGCAAATCCCAGTACTAACTTTAGACACGTTTTCACAGGTGGATCTGTGAGAAGGGAGTGGAGCAACACTTCAGAAGGGTAGGTTTTGTGGGGGTATTTTTCTTCCCCTAGTCTTCGCAGTGTCCAGCATTAAATCCCTACTTGGGGGGGGGGGGGGGG